TGTTTATTATGCTACATGATTTGTCCCGCACCTAAGAAACTAATTACGCAATTTGATGTTTTCACATTATGATTTCCGTCTGTATAATTAACACTTGTGGCTTTTATAACGCAAGATTATCGCATCTTCGTAACAGCTGGCAATCGTATTGTTACATAATATGTTTACACAAAGTGTTTAATTTCGTTTGAAAAGTGTTTCTACTTCGATAATCGATATTAATAAAGACGCAATTATATAGATTAAAATAACTGCAGAGGTTCATATAGGCGATTTATTTTCATTTAATTTATCCTCACAAAGCCACGAAACTATTATATCATTTTAATCTATATAATTATCTGAAGTCTAGAAAGTTATATTATAGAAAAAAAGGGCTGTTTACATTTTTATTGTTACAGATTGAATTAGTAATACCGATAGTCATGATGCATTTGATTTATTTATCGATTCTTTTGAGAAAGAGAATCCGATATATTTCTCGCCCATCTATCCAGTTTTGCATTTTCAAGATCGCTCGACGTTACGAAACGACGATGCATCCATCGGTCTAACGCTCGCGATCCCATTTGTTTAGTGGCACGAAATAATCTGCAATCTGCACCGTCGCGTGTTTTCTGCCACGTGGGTTTATCGCGATCGTTAATACACCCCTCCGTGGAAAGCATTTATCGGCAGATAATTAATTTCGTTGCGTAACACCGGGTTAATCGCTCATTAAAACTCGCAACCCGCCGCCCGCGCGTCGCGTCGCCTTCGCCGAAAAGCGGGACACGCGCATTAATTCGACAACAGATAATTTTGATTCGTGCCCGTAATGCCGATAATTGGATTGAAAAACACAAGCCGGATCGATAGACAAGTATCGGCTCTCTACGAATAGGTATAACGCTAATTAAATCATTTAAAGTTATAACGATCGACAGCGATTCACTTTGTGTTACGTAGGCGATGTGTACTCAGCATTTAAATGAACCGACGCGCGCGATAAAAACGACGTCTCATGGCAGGAATATTGATGGATTGCGGTCATACATTTCTGGCAACCATTGTTTGCCATTTAATAACGAAAGCGAAATGACTTAGCAGGAGACCCTTTTTATGCAAAGTGTAAATCATCGTGTTTCCTTGCGAGCGTAGATTTTCTATGACGTATAGCGATTGACTGTGCAATTACTTTCTCTTGCATTAATAATTTCTTGTACTTAATTGAGAGATTGATTAATAGACGCTTCATATTAAGAAGAAGAGTTTTTTGTTGTTATTGCCATAATAAAAGAACGAAATGCGTGACAGACGGTGATCTTTCGGTAAAAAAAAAATTTGCTGTATAATATCAATACGGAATTTGTAAAAAAGTCTGATGATTAAATGAAGAACACACACTTTCTTGTATTTGTAAGCAATGATAATTTTGAACGGTTAAAGTGAAATAAATAATATGGATTGGGAATCTTGAAGTAAATTTAGGGTTTTCATTTTTTAGTCCTTGGACCGTTGGGTCATTAGGTCAGGCTGATATGTATAAATCAGTGTTCATTCATATGTAATGTTTGATATATTGGTAGGTCAAGATATGTTAAAGCGTTATAAAATGATATTTTAAATATAATTAATTATCGTTGTTTATATGTCAATGTGTGAGCTATCTCGTTGATTTCGCATTGATTCAATCAAACGGTTTACATTTAATGTTGCAACAGTCAGTCAACTGTGCATTGCAGTGCCGTGGATATTGCCAGTGCAATTATCGATAAATAATTTGTATATAACATTGATATTTTCTTTAAAATTGAAGATTTTATTAAAACAAAATGCAATATTAAATATATCGCTACGTATTTTGCAAGTTTTTAGACAAATGCAGAAAGTTAAGCGATATGCATTGCCAAAAAATGTTTTTCTCTAAATTCTTTGGAGTGAATCTAATTCTAAAAGAATGAGATTTTACCCGTAAGAATTTTACAAGTTAACTGTGTAATGATTATTAATGTTATTATTATTATATATTCATATATGTATATATATTCTATTTTGTGAATTAATAATAATGACTATTATTAATTGGAAAGTTCTAATTAACATTATTATTTAATGAAATTAAGTGTTAAAAATTACATAAATGCATTTGTTCAGTATATTGAATGTAAATAAAAACTTAAATAAAATTTATAATAGAAACTAATAGTGACTCATGAAATTCAAATTACATTCAGAATATTTAAAATGTGAATTGATCTCCATTTTAAAATCAATCGCGTGGAGAGATCTTGACCCGATACTCGATTGAACTTAGAATAGGCCTTATCGAGATCGTAAACAGACACCATGGAAATGAGGTGCGCATAAAAAGTGTACAATCGTTGCTGTTTGCAAAACGTCCATCGTTGATTTTGTAAAATGCACAATTAGATTGTGACATCAGTATATGTTAACATTCCGACATCAGTATACCGTCAATTCTTCATAAATATAATCTATTGTATCCTTTTATACAATAATAGAAACGTTGTATTTTTATCAGATGCAAATTCTTGCGCGCATTTACGTATATTTTCATTAAATGCAGATACTATTGACATATATTTGGTATGAAACATTCAACAAGATTGCGTCGACTAATAATCCTTAATCTAATAGGAGATCAATGACGTAAAATTTGTAAATATATGTATAATTGATTTGTAATGTGTATATATCCTGTAGAAATTTAAAAATCTAAAGTTTGTAAAAAAAAAAACTTTAAACGTTAGTCGTTATGAAAATAATTGTTCAATTTTTTTCGGATACTCTATAAAAATTACATTTTACAAACAAGTTATTATTAGTTCTTACTTGGGTTTAAGAGATAAGTGTTTAATAATATACTGATAAGAATTAGAAGTATACTAGAGTTCGTAGTTTATAAATATTTAATAGATATATAATATACAATATTTATAAAATTATATGTATAATAATATATGTATTAGATATAATTAATAAATTAATAACAGAAATGTTTTTTTAAAAATGCTATACATAAGATTTTATTATACAAAAATAGAATATAAGACGATGAATTTGATGTTTTCCTTCGACATAAGAGATAGTAGCGAAGTATGTGAATGTTCTGTTTTCGTAATAAAATCCAACGAGCAATACGGTAGCTCGCGCGATACGATCTGACGTTATCTTACTTTCCTGAAACAGGCAGTAATGACTGGCGACTAATTGCGCGATTAAAATTCAGGCACGTACATTCATCCAATTCTTCGGAGAATATCCGAACGCGGGATTTTTTCTGACGACTCTTACACAGATTAAGTTTAATTAAAAAGATAGTTAAAAGCGTATCGTAAGTCTACAAAGAAGCGTCTAACAAGCAATTTCCCGAAAGTAAAGTTTACGCGGTTAGTTTGAGAAAGATTTTATTATCATACCGTTCATTAATTTTAATTCAGTCATAAAAATTACTTCGTGAATATCATTTAATCTCTCGTGCTATAAGTAACAAATGATATATTTCTATGGGAATGTTTAACTTTGCATCATGAGAACGATAAGATAAAATTGATTGTGAATTTATAAGTTTGTATATGTATGTTTGTACATGTAGCTGTATCTTCTTCGGAAGATAAAAGCTGTTGACAATCGCGGTGTAATTTCAATTTTCATAAATAATGTGCCAATTGTCATAAATAAGATTCGTGCAATTATAAAATCCAATAATAATGTAGGACATTTTTTTAATGCTTCAGTTGTTGCGCACATATTAACTGATATTTTTTTACAATAAGTTGTTAGACACAATATGTTAACTTATTTCATTTTATCTTTATCGTGTTTCATAATTCTCTCATATTTCCCTCATGACGATCGCTACGACAGCTACTTTGTGACTTCGCAAATTTACTTCCTAGAATTTCTGTGTTTAGCTTCGCTCATAGATGTCTGATCTCCTCCTAGATCCTTTTATCTGTGAACGCTCCAAGTGCTCGAGAACCGCGGGACAAAGCTGCAATTAACTAATGCAAAAATGATATATCGCCGACGGCAGCCCGTGGATGAAAGGGGAGTATAGCAGGGGGCGGAGGGGGGGCCACCAGACGAAAAAATTCGGAATATTTATGCTCGGTATTATTAGCGCACGTCGGCGATATCTCGGTGGGCATCGCTAATTAGCCCGCGCGAACGGCGCGGGCCTTTCGGCAAACAGTGCTGGCTACTGTCTTCGAAGGTTCTTCCCCGGGAGCGTAATCAAGATGGTGGCGCCAACCACCCGGCGAGGTCGATTCCGAAACTAATTGCCACGGCTAATTTATCCCAACGACATATAACGCACAGAGACGCCATTATCGGGGTACCGCGTAATCGCGCTCGCGTAATCACCGCAATGCCCGAGGAGATCCGCACGGACGACCTCCTCGCGGAGGTGCTCGAACTTAGACAAGGACGCACTTTAAATCGATCGCGATATCACGGCACGGTACATTATTGTCTGCAACTGAACGAGGTAGAGATATAGCTTCCGTCACACAATTATACGCTCGATACTGCGCTGTCGATATTTTTCTGTTTGTGATACCTTCACCAAAATTTGATGAAAATGAAAGACCGTGTTATGAGATTACTCACAAAATTGTTATTGGAATAATTTAAGGTGAAAAATTAAAAACGGTTGAATTTAATTAATTAATTAAAGCTTATGAATTTAATTTTTATTTGGAACATATTTACGCGAAACTTATAATCTTTTATTATTTAAAAGACTAATTTCAAAATCGTTTAGAATTTTTCATTGAATATTTTTAAAATATTTTATTTTTGTGAGGATTGTTTTAATTCAAAATTCCTGTAAGAAAAGAGAGCGTATAACATATGTTAATTTATATTTAAATTTTATATTCATACTTCTTATTAAGACTTTCTTTAATAGGGCAAAAGAAAGGATTTTAGGCAATGTGAGGGGAATAAATTTGCTGTTTACGACAATACAATTTATTAAATAAATTCTCCTGATCGTCGTTATGCTCGCTTTACATTTATACAAAATTGGAAAAAGAATTATTTCTAAGCTACCAAGATTCATTCGTTTTATTACTTGCACTCAGTGATGCAAATGCAACCCCATTTCTCGAATAGTCGCTAGGTATTTATGTACAAAGTAAAATTAACGCGCGGTAGATGAATAATATTTACAATTCTATTTACAATAGTGATTCCAGCCTCTTTTCAAGACGGGCGACATTGGCACAGACGAATTTTTCAACAGACTTGTGTGAGCCTTCACTTTTCTCATTAAACTAATACTGGAAAGTATATAAAGCCCGATGACGAGATTTCTCTCCTCTCTCTCTCCCTCCCCTTGTTTCTCGAGATCATTTCAATGTTATTTCGTCAACGTACTGCAGTCGTGTAAATTTTTAAGTCTGCCCTTTCCCGCGCAATCGAAATCATTCCTCGGGACGTGAGATTCGGTGACGTCATTTCAACCGGTTTGCATAAACCGGCATCGTACGCTACTGCTCTCATTCTCTCGCGGGATGCTGAGCGATCGTGTGATGAGACGTCAGTCCGGGATGGGACAGCATTCCTACGGGATAAAGTCCCGCGGGGGTTAAGATCCCCGGGTGCGAACCGTACAGCGCCGTGTGATGCTGTCGCACGGCGGACATTCGCAGCTTCTCGATTTCCGCTTCCTGCAAGCGTTTCGCTTTGGCACGCCGGTTCTGAAACCAGATCTTTACCTGCAACAATAAATCAAGTTGACTTTACAACGGCGTGTTTAAGACGATGGGTTCCGGCATGATCGACTAATACGGAATATAATGGTAACTCGCGCCTTTTCGTATTATATATTTGTATATATATTTTAGCACGACTTATAACGGATCATTCGAGATATCACGACGTTGAAATGTGCAGCTTTCAAATTTATACATATTGCAAACGAGTAAAATTATATTAAATAAAAGCACAGAACAATATTAAGTGAAAATCGATCGAGAAGTATTTAAAACGTTTAATAAGAGAATGGCATTCCTCTCTTTATTTGTGTTAATAAAAAAGCACGGAAAATAATTTATTCTTAAATATGTAATTAACGCATAGAGGGCTTATCACAGAATATCAATAATACGTACAACGTTAATTTGAAGCGCAATAGAAATAAATTGTACAATTTCGATCGTCGAGATTCGCAGGGTTGAGCGTCTGGCATCGCGTTTAAAATCTTTAAAATAAACTAGAGAAGACAGGGCGCATTATATTCCATTTAAACGTCACTCCGTGGGTTATAATTTTGGCAAACGACTTGTCTTGACGACATACGCGATAAAGTCGAGAGAGGAAGAACTGATAAATAAATCCGTAATATCGCAGCGGCGCATCTGCGGCCGTAAACAAACCGTTCCACCCCTCGGTGCGATTTCTATCGACGTCTGTCTTAATCGAATAAATCGACGCGGTTGTTGGTCGGGTCATTGCGGAGCGAAGCAGAAATCTGCGCGGAAATGAGTTCGCGCGAGAGCGCGCGAGATGTGCGTTTCGGAAATCGCGCTGCCAGAGAATCCGGGATCTCGGCAGCCGGAGAGATAATTGGCCGGTCATCGTGCGGCGATCGCGTAACGCGCGTTTCACGCAATTTGTAGTCTATTAATAAAATTACCGTCTCGTTCGCTTTGTATTCGCCGCGGCCTCCGGGTAGCGCGCATTTGCGCGCGCTAATTACCGCGCATCTGGCAGCGCCGTACGGTCCACCATAACCATAAGCTCTGAGAGACGTGCTGTTTTGACTGCGTGAATGGCTCGCACCGAGGAAATAAAAGTGACGAAAGACGTGGGGAGGATATATCTGCCGGTTCGAGATTCTGACAAACATCGCGTGAGATCGGTCTCTCTCTCTCTCTCTCTCTCTCTCTCGAAGAAGAAGAAGAAGAAGAAGAAGAAGAAATTACGATTCTCACGAGTCGGATACTGTAATGTGCTAATTTGATTGCGTAACCGATAACGCGAATGAGGGAATTTTTACGATTTTCAATAATACTTTTCACGCTCCTAGCTTCGATTTTCTCCAAACGATCTAGGTCTCTATGAACTTTCATGATAGTTTCTAACAAAATAACAAATTAATTAATAAATTTGAAGCGATTTTGTGGAATAAATGCTGGCAAGAGTTGAGCAAGTTGTTGACTTATTTGCTAATTAATATTAATAAGCGTTTGCGAAATGATGCTGTTGGTGTATCTTATATAAAGGATTAGAGAAATTGACTGGTAATTTCGAAAGAAAATTAGCCGTGATTCGCGTGCATGCTTTATTAGCGAGAGAAAATATTTACGATCGAAAAATTGCGTCACATATGACGTTACACGGCGAACGTCGGCTGCTTATCGACCGGCAATCTGATATCAAATTTAACATAAAATTCGTAGACTTTTCATCACCTGCGTCTCCGTGAGGTGCAACGAGGACGAGAACTCTGCCCTCTCGGCGACGCTCAAGTACTGCCTCTCTCTGAACTTCTTCTCGAGGGCCAGCAACTGCTGGGTCGTGAAGGGCGTTCTGGGCTTTCGGTTCGGCTTGTGTTTCCTCAGGTTGCACTTAATCTTAGCCGGCTCGCCGTTCTCTGAAAGAAAAAAAACCAAAGGTACACGCTCTCAGTCGAGGTTGCATGTTGCGCACGTGAACAACGACGAGCGTTATGCTCGTAGGAACAAACTGACGGACAGATAGTTCGCTCGCGAAGGTGTTCCGCGGGAATAAGGTAGGCCAACGGAGAAAAGGGCCCCCGAGACCGCAACGTGCCGTTTTTGTCGGCCACGAACCGACGGAGGATAGCCCGGCGAGGGCAAACGCCGTCTTTTTAGGGTGCAATTCATAATTTTTCCGTCGGAACGGCGCCGCAAACTGGCCTCATTACTTTTTTGCCGTCCGACCGCAAAATTCCGGCCGCGAATTGTTTCTACACGGCCGGGCCGCGGCTACCGCTCGCATATAAGAGTGCCGTTCGCAACGCGCCTGCCTCGCGCGAAAGGAAGACGTCGTTGCGGTGATGAGCTTGATACTCCTCGCTCGCGATTTATAGACGATGAAAGACGCGGCCGCGACATCGGTTAATCGCGCGTATTTGTGTTTCAACAGAAGCGTACTAATAATAATGAATCCGAATTTTGTTGGTGTAAATTTGTTGCATTTATATATATAATATCGATTTCAAATATAGGAGCGAAGGAAGAAACCCCGCGAAATTTTTAAGGTCAGTCACGTTACGGAAATTTAGATGGCACGTAATTTATAATACCTAGAAACAACTCTTCAATTATATTCTTACGAATAATTTATTGAGAAATCAATGCGACAAATTCAAGTAAAGTGAATAAAATAAAAATAGAACTCTCGAGAATGTCAAATTACGAATAGAAACGGGCTAAGGAGAGTCAATCTACAGTAATTAGTGCGAATTAGTAATTAATATTTCATTGAACTAATACTTATAATAATTTGTCAGACGTTTCGGCTTCACTCTGAGCCACCTTCAACGACCTGAACGGTAATAATATTAAACGTAGTCTTCGACGACTGGACCAAAGACTGGTAACCCCTTCGAGTTAAATAATTTTACGTAATATTTTGTAATCGCTTCCTCGTGAGGTCTAAAGCAATCGTGTTGTATATTTTAAACATCTGAAAGCTCAATGTACAGATAATGCTCGGATAACGAAGAAACGCGTCAAGCTGCTACAAGAACAGATGGGAATACACACGGGGGAGTCCGGTATTGGAATATATCGGTTATATTCCTCGAGATTTGTCTCGAGACAATTGACAGATTTGTAGAGCGGAGGTGAACAGCTTCTGTACAGAAGAAGCGGGCCGAGATCACGACGAGAGACAAAAGGCCACGGTCGTAGTCGTCCTGGCGGTTGCCGTTTCTGAATTTCAAATTCGTCGTCAGAACCGCCCCTCCCCCCCTCCCCCCTTCGCTCACCTCCCCTCGCCCCTCGTTCGCCTCCCTCTCTCTGTGTCGTCGTCGTCGTTCCAAGATTTCTCCACGCATCAACCCGGACTTATAACATGATAGCGCGCTCCCGTTTCTCGATCCTACTTCGAAATTGTCCTTTGTATACGCTCCTCACCGCTCGCTAAGGGTTCCAATTAGTCTCGGCATCCGGTGATCTCTCCGCGTCGCGCGGGGCTACCAAAAACGCGGCCGCAGACCGATCCTCGATCCCCCGATCGGGAATGTACATTCGAAATAATTAGCTGATCCCACGGAGATAAAGGCGAATGCAACGATCATCGAATTGTACGGCGCAAACTGGAAAGGAAGAGTCGTGAACGGTTGGGTGTCTTTTATTGCATAACGATCGAAGAGATTAACATTCGTGATATAATCATACTCGATGTTCTCACTGCGCTCGTATATCAATGATACTGTGCCTTCTGAAAAGATTTTAAATTCAGATATTTACGAGCAAAACGAACGATGACGTGAAAAACATTGATCTGCTGTTATATACTGTTATATCGCAGAAGTCGTGTTTTTTCTTTTAAAAAATAATGACTTTTTCTAATTCGTATGTGAAACGAAAATAATGAGGGAGAATGATAATTTATTTTAATAAATATCTCAACTTAATTCTAAGATATGCTTGAAATATCTCGTCATATTTGAAATACAGAAACTTTTCAAAATTCTCGTATCTGCATTTTAATAAAAATATTATATACTTTTTCTTCCAACGTAAGAATTGTATATTACAATACTTATATAGTTGTTTATACAATTTAAAGATATAACCGTCTATAAACATTGCCATACTTGTATCGCCAATAAATTCTTTTATGGCACAGAATCACTTATTTAAGATAATCACGATAAAAGAACGGTGGCGTAAAACTTTGAAGGGGTGCGCCGATCTGTGAAAATACCCTCCACGAGAGTTCATATTTCAGAATTATGGCATATTTTACCCGTACCGTATATTTCACATGAGATCCTATTTGAGAATTTTTTATAATAGAACACAAGTAGCTATTTTTACTTTTCCGACTAAATTTAATTTAATTTATACTTTTTATTTATATTTTTTTAATATATGTAAATATTAATTGGTATTTAGATTTTAAAAAAATTCTTGAATGTACTTTAGATAATTACATTTGTTGTACAAATTAATCTACGATAATCGAAAGTCGAATCATTTATAAAAAAAGAATTGATAATTAACATAGAGACAAATAATAAAGTAATCAAGTTTGACAGGAAAAATGATTAAATGTTTGAAGAGTATTAAAGCAGGATAATATTAGATAAACCTTTTATCTATATAAATCGTAGGATAATTCTTTTGTAACAGTCATTTATCAAGTGGGAATACGTGGGAATAGTTCGGCTCGTCCGAGCGACGGTAGGCTATCGTTCCTATCGTTCAACAGCGGCCGAAGCGGCCGTTACAGATTCACAGATTTTTGTTCGACGATTGTACGATCTGTCTCGCTCTTCTACAATAATTATCCATTGTTACGTCGAAAAATCCACGAGAAAAATACAGGTCGGTTCCGCGTCTTCAATTAGTTGTTTAATGAGGTGAAATAACACAACGCAGAGATTGCCTTTTTAACACAATCTCGTCTTTTGTAATTCAAGTCAAGTTTGTAAGTCAATCGTTTGACTAATTAGTACCGAAAGTGGTATCATTTATTTGCAATCGTGTCAAATAACTAGTGTCAAATAACATTGCATCTCGGTTGGCACTAATTATCAAAAACTAACTTAGAAAGAAAAGGGTTTTGTAATAGAAAAATTGTTTGTAATAGATAGATTTGCTTGATATATATCAGCGTTGCGTAAAGTTATCTGCGCTTGACTCCTAGTGCCCTTTTCTTTCTAAGTTAGTTTTTGGTTTATACAGGAGTTTTGCTATTTAAGAATTATTATATGTACTAATTATTAACGTTAAAATTAGAGATTCATGATTCAGTATCATTAAGCGCAGTTATAATCCGTCGAGAATTTTATTGAGTTGTAAAACCGTAAACAGAAAACGTATTTGCGTGATTGTTACCACGAGATAACCTTCTCTGCGAAGCTTATGTTTTCAGAATATCATCACGTTCGATATTACGCATCGATAAGGAGTAAAGTTGTCTGGATTCTATACAGCAACGAGAAATTGCCATCGGTAAAACCGCCGCGTCTGTAACCGCGTAATCGCTTTAGCCGCAATGAACCATGAAAAGAATCTGCCGAGAAACACAGGGGCGATTGGCACTCCGCCAAAGCTCGAAGACAATCGCAAACACGGTTGTCGTCACGCGCGGCCAAACAGATTGGCTCTTTTGAAATCAAACGTCAGGAGGGAACGGCCGAATGATTAATGACTGCTTAATGAAACGATTAATGGCTACTTAGACTGAAAACTATTATTCGGCATACAAAGGAAAGGGAGAGATTTCTGTGTTTGAAATGTCACATTTCCCCCCAGTCTCTCATTTTAGGATCACCGATACGTATATAGGTATAAATGAGGACATCGATTTGGTCGATTTAATTGCTCTCAGTATTTTAAGAATACAGATCGCTGTGGAAAATAAAGAGAGAAAAAAAAAAGACACTCACCGTTTAGAGGAGCGTGATGAGAGAAGTGAGAAGGGAAGAACGTGGCCGTGGCCGCGGCCGCCGCGGCGGCCGCAGCTGCATTCTGATGCCCGCCGCCCCAGATTGCAGGGTGAAGACTAGGCGGGATCTCCGGGATACCGCCGATGGTGGCGAAACCACCAAGGTACGCCGGCGTTGGCCTAACGGGAGTCGGACTGGACGAATGTTGCTGAACGTCCTCCACGTCGACCAATCTACTCTCGTCGTCCTCTTCGACGTCGTCCGTCTCGGAACATCTCGAATGGGCCTCACCGTGAGAGCTGCTTCTCGGTGATTGCGAACCGGCGTCCGGATGGCTGCCGATCATCGGGGACGAGGAACAGCCCACTGTCATAGGCTCCGGGGTGGTCCTGGCGTCGATGGACGGACGCATACGATAATCCACGCTACCGGAGGTTGATCTTCTACCGGGTGACTCGATGCTGCAGGCATAGTCGATCGCTTCGCCGGGATACCTCGGCGGGGTTCTGGGCTCCGAGTTATGGTGAGGTGAGGTGCGATGGATCAATCTGGTGGGGTCCTGATTGGGCGACGACGATAAGGTGTATCTTGACGTTTTCGCATCGCACGGATACTTCGGCATACGCGGCTCCTGTCGAATCGGCACGTACGAGACGATCGGCGACGATCTGGGTGACGTTAGGATCGCGTCCTGCCTGGTCGTGGGCTCTGACGATTTCCTCGTGTCGGCTAGCAGAGCCGCGACGGAGAAGCTCAATCGATGGGCCGGTTTCGGACTCGCCCGCAACGCCTGGGCTTCGTCCGGCGAGTCTGGGCTGGTCGATGCAGGCGTCACCGGCGAGGTCATCCTTATTACTGTCATTCTTGGACGTCGATCGATCCACCGTCTACGTCGATTAGCACACTGCTGGTGGATTGCCGCGGTAACAATGATATTTCGATATACTTCTCGACGAGAGATATATATATAGCTCTAGCTGCTCATCTCGCGACGGACTAGAATGCTCGACGTGTAAAAGTTCACTGCTTCTCACTCTCTGACTCCGTATACATGATCTCTCGCGATTACGAAAAATCCGGCGCTCGCTCGCTAACGTGCTCGCCAACGGTCAACTCAACGGAGAGGGACCCGCGTAAGGCACATCGATCACACCAGTTATAGGATATAGTCGTTTGACAGCTCTCGTGGATCAATGATCACCAGCTGACCAGCGGCTCTGCTGGGATAGCCCTCTAGCCAAGCCGAGCTCTCCGTGTGAACTGAGTTTGACCGCTCAGTCAGCCCAGCACCGCCCTGATTTTTCCTTTCGCCCTCGACTGAGCGCCCGTCGGTGGTGGGGACGTCGGGCGCTCGTCGAGCGGAAGAGAGGTCTCTCCTCTCGTGGAAGTGGGGAATCCGAACGACAGAGCGAGATGGAAGAGGATCGGAACGGGGCGAGGCTGGGAACTATACTGACGGGGGGCATTCCTCGCGACGCTCCGCCCCATGGCTGGGACACTCCGCAGGCGGAATTATCTATACAGCGATTTTTGTACCGAGGGGATAAGTTCCTCTCGTGCAAACGCGACGTGCCGTCACGGAGCGTCGAGCGGTGGCGGGGGGGTTAGATTTAATCGCCGCTCGCTTTACTACATCGGAGACGGTAATGAGCGCAATTGAGCAATTAGGCGGGGTGATTAAGATTGAAAAAAAAATTAAGAGCGGCGGATGTGAGATAGTTTTCAATTGTCGCTGTATTAAATGGCACCGATAAAGCGGAGAGATCATGTTTGGATTAGTCGATTATGAAATGTTGTGGAAGAGAGTAGGAAAGCGAGGACCATCTGAAAACATCTTTGACTTTTTATCGCACCTTTTTGATAACCATGTCGATGATAGCTCTGTCTTTTTATTAACATTGATGTATTTAATTATAAAGAAAACATAAACGTTGTGTTTAATTTGATTGTAAGAAGAGACGTAAACAGCGAGACTATTTTGCGATTAATTTTTAATCGGGCATTTGATTTATGTGTGTGTGTGTGTGCGAATAAACATTTTAATTCTTAATTTGACGAGAGATTTACTTTAAACAAATTATTACAGTACGTTCACCACATTTCTTTTGAATTAACGAGCAATTTATTATGCCAAATAACTCTTCGATACGATAATCGTAATTGAAAAAAAAAAAGTAAGTTCTATAATTACTATACTGGATTAATTACAATTTAAAACACATATCACTGCATCAAACATAAATTTAGTCGTGAGGATTAAATCGTAATTACAAGAAATATGATACGTGACACGGAGATGGGAGAGAATTCCAAAATTTCGGCCATGTTTTTCTGGCCCAGCACGGAGAGATACGGTTTGCTCGCGCATGTAGGTAGCCCTAGGTAGGCATATCGATTCGCAGTCGAACGTCAACCCCTCTCAGTCTCGAGACTTCCCTCTCGACGTTCAGCCCCTAAATCGAAGCGTCGCGCCGCGTCGCCGCGTGTCCGGGAGATTTTTGGGGTTCGTCGGTGCGGCGCTCGTTTGTTCTGACGGCGCGGTGTGGTGCACTGAGATTCCATCGTCGCGCACCCGTCCGTCATATTTACGGGTAGCTCCGTCACGTAACTTTGCGATAAGCAAAAACAAATGAGTCCCGATAGGGGGTGTCGATAAAACACCCCACAGCGCCCGTATACCTCGCCGAATAAAACCTCGCGGACGTTCTTCCATTTTCGCGCGGAATTGGCTGCTGCCGCCGTAAATTTCATCGCGCGGAAATCCGCGCGGCGTCCACCGATTTTTTTTTTTTCGCGCCGCTTTATCGGAATCGATGTTGATTTCCAAAAAAAAAAACGTATCGCGCGAACGAGTTTATGGCGTTTATACATTAGGTATTATTCTCGTAATAATCTTTATTATTAGGTGAAGAATGTCGAGACGACAACGCGCGTCTGTTCGTTTGGCTCAATGAAGACCAGGCGAAGTGTTATTAACCGCGAATAAAAATTCTGTAGGAGACATTGGATATGTGAAACAGATGCGCGATTGTCTCTTGAGGATCAATTAGTACGTAGGATGCTTCGTGTGACGTTTAATGATGCCTGCACAGCCAAAGTCGAAATATAGATATGCATTGTCGAGATGGCGGTTTCCACGCAATTGCCTTTCTAAGAAATTGTTACTCGTCAGTCCATATCATCCCAGGCTTGGCGTAAACGTATATATAACGTATATGTAACGTTTAGATATGCATTGTCGAGATGGCGGTTTCCACGCAATTGCCTTTCTAAGAAATTGTTACTCGTCCGTCCATATCATCCCAGGCTTGGCGTAAACGTATATATAACGTATATGTAACGTACATGTAACGTATATATAATGTATACATAACGTATATATAACGTAACGAAACAAAGATGTACATAAGACGATTCGCAGCCGGTTAACTTCTCCCACGGCTAAATCGGTGGACTTAGAACAGCGTGATATTACTGCTATATAGCTGCACGCTCTCGGCAATCGGGAAGAAATCACGACGGCAATAAAGAGGCTCATAAACTCCCGTAACAAAGCACTCCGCTATCTTTCGTTACTCGAGGCATTAATGTTTACAGGCCATTGACTTTTAAATTCGCTTCCGTGAGCATATCTATCCCGTTTTCCCTCCCAAGATAAATTTGCGTGTCCGATTGGCGAGGTCGTGTATAACTTCGCCGTTCTCTTGGACTCTTGACTTCTTGAAGATTGACCCGTGTATAGTTTACTCATCGAAATAAACCCAAGGTGAATTTTCAAAAATTGTCACATTCCGTGTAGATTTTTGCTTCTTACAATTAAAAAGAATTTGTACAAGATCGCACCCTGGCAGTATTCTAAATAAGCTCGCTATCGTGTTGTTCGCCATTACGATGCGATGCAGAGTTTTGCAGGAAACGAGTGTTTTTGATTAGGGCACACCGCGCGACGGTGTAGAGGATCGTCATTATTAAACACCGTCTTCCTAATAATTAAGGAGGACACGAGCGGGATCGAGAGACGCCGCGTTGGTGTGGGATAGAGAAGGATGAGCTAATTTGGATGGTTACCAAGGCAAACGATACGTTAAATAGATAGGACGTGGGGGTAAGCAGTGGGGAACCGACATAATGAGGACCACCCGCTAGCACCGTAAGACCTACTCAGTACACGTATACTCGGTGTATCGCAGAATTTCACCTGAACCGTTCGCCGTTTTACTGCAAATTTCCGCGTATAACGTTACAAAATAGTCGACAGTTTCTTTTTTTCGTAGCACTTTTGATCAAATTTGATTAGTATTTCATATTGTAATTAATGTGTTAATTTGTAATTATGCTACCTTTAAAATAATCTAATTTTTAGATATGAGAGGAAACTTATTATAAAACAAACAAATTTTTTTTAGCTTATCTATCCTACTTTAATAGGGGATTTAGTTTTATGATTAAACATATATATTTACATATATAAATAATTTAATAATAATATAATGACTTTGATAACAATATAATGACTGATTTATGTATGTATTTATTAGTATATTCAAAGCAAATTGGCGAATTACAAGATAATTTGATATAAAAAAGTATTAGTTTATAGATAATATAAATGTAATATTACAATTTACTTTATACAAATTAATATTGTTTGAAGTTATGAATGGTTAAAAAACTCCCGAATTACGAAAGTATTTCGTAGCCTCGAGACACCCTGTATGTGCAAAGTGCCACGAGTTGGCTGTTAATTATTAGCGAGCCGCTATATTGAGCATGAAAACAGTATTTCTTTCGGGCAGAGAAGATTCAAGTCAAATTGGCGTTAAAATTGCAATCACGGTGGTCCGTCTTTCTCGCCTCGTCCCGCTCCATCAGCTCGTTCCTCGCTTCCTCCCGTCTCCCACAGAATTAGATCGTCTATTCTCAGAGAAAACGCGGACGCTCACCGCTCGGCTCTAATAGCCGTTTAGAGGGTTAATTTCTCTTCGGGGGGGAAAAAAAAAAAAAGAATCTAGTCGTGGGAGCGTGCTCTTGCGTTTTTTTTTTTTTTTCTTTTTTACAGCCGATGCGCTACTTATATTATGATGATGAATATCGAGCGAGCCGGAAAAAAATTGTGGCCGTGAGGTATGTGGATTCAAAAAATTCGAGGAATGTAAATAGAATTTTATTTACAGCTGGAATTTCATTAGGAAGCTTGTTATGACAAAAAATTGTTAGATAAATTCCTACATGCGGTTTTAATATAATATCTATTCGTACAAGTAACAAAACTTTCTTCCAACGAATTTTATGATTTTCATATAAAATCTGAACTGTAAAAGATATCTGTATTCGTTTGAATCCAAAAAATTTCTTTTATTTGAATCTCATTTCTTGAAAAAAAGATCAACGAAAGGAACGATTTTCTTCTATTTGAACACAACTTTTCTCTGGGTATATTACAAGTTGTTTATTATCCTTTTGAGTTTTCACGGGGGGTATTTTCTTCAATTATGCCAGAAGGTTTGCGGGTCATCGCCGTGTCTTCCTTCATTTTGTTTATTATCGTTGTTATAAATAGATTATATTCATCAGACCTTTCAGCGGAAAGATTACATTTAATAATCCCGCCAAATCGTTGCTCGCGGGCGCGCATTCTGCGCTTGTCGCGTTTCAATTTAAAGTACCTTCGACTCGATCGAGCTCTTTGAAGCATTCCGTGTCACAGGGTGTATCATGCCCATTCCGCGAACCCGGCGCACGATTACATTTGCACGGAAAGCTACGACGGACGGAATGTTGCTCGTTTGTTTCAGATTTCTGCCAGGAAGCACGCCGTCTCACCCTCCTACCTGACTCACCCTTTCCTATTGTCTCTCTCTCTCTCTCTCTCTCTCTCTCTTTCTGTCTCTGTCTCTCTCTATTTCCCTCCTCTCGCACAGTGAAACACGCGCCCGTCTGTGTGCACGTAGAAACGC